AACCACCCCCCTACCCAAACGTAGCTTTGGAAAAAGGAGATGCTGATGATAGTGATGGTCTATGGCTCAGGATACAGCCAAAGGACTCAGCATCTATGGAACACAACATAGGGCATAAGCTACAGGCAAGGATATATATCCTGTGCGGGAAAAGGGCTAATGCGATCCTTGAATGTACAAAGAGGAGACGTGAGTAGGAGGAGGGAGGTGACTTGACCTCTATATACAGCCACAGGCATAGCTGCAGCGCTGGCATTGTGCTGCTGGAGCACGTGTAGTGTAGACGTACGCCCAGTCTCTTCCCAGCGGATGGCAGTGAGCAGGCAGTTGGGGACAAGGAGCTTGCTTAGAGATTCTTCTGATTTACCCCACAACCTTCCAGATACAAAGCAACGTGTTCCGTAGTGAGAAGCCATCGGGGGAGGGGGGAGCTTGTGTTGTGAGCTGTGGTGTCACAGCTGTCCCCAGAACAACTCAAAACATACACAACCTGCTGTTTTGCAATAGGCACAACTGCAATCACAGGGCACTATCAGATTTAATTGACAGCACACAGGGTTAATCAGGTAAAGTAGTGAGCGTTTGGTTCAATCAGCCTCTTGGGAAGGATAAGTAAAGGCAGATTCTCATTGCCCTGTAGTCCTCTCCCCTTCAGTGTCCCCTAAAAGCCCCACACTTTTGGGACACCGTCCTTATGAAACCCACTGGCCAAGGCCCCATTCAGGCTGCAGCGAGAACTGGGATTTTGTAACGGGTTGGAGGGACTCTCAGGCTTTACCAGTTACAAGTCAAACAGGGAATTTTCTGTTTTCCAGTTCGCACTCTGCCCCCTTCCCAGATGTGTTTTTAGGAGTAAATTGTGAAACATCCTGGGCAGCTATTCCACACTGGCCATGCAGCAAGGACTATGGTTTTTGCGGTGTGGGGGGCAGGGTTGTTTTGTTTTGTTTTTTCAGACACACTCAGCGGACTGTGGGATGCAGTTATGGGCAAGAGTAGGACTTGAATGACCAGTTGGGGGTACCTACCACACGGGAAAATCCCTGTGTGCCTAGCCACCTGCAGGAACCCTGGGATAGACTGAGCAGCTAGAGATGGAAGCTGTGAGTTAAGATGCACCATTGGTAACATTATTAACATTGTGCACACGAGCTGTATCTTCAGCCAATAGCGCACTAGCCAGTTAGTGCATGGTAGAAAGCTGCTGTGTGAGGGGGGCATGACTGCGTTAGTCCTGCTGAAAGTGTGGAAGAATGGCAAATTAATAAACTGACCATGTGCCAGTTAGATTGAAAGCAAACTAGATCAGTTGTGGAGGGGGTGTGGCCAATATTAGAATGGAATCTAATAGGATAATCCCTTCCTATTGAAGGCAGAGAATGCTAGTTCAGCAATTTAACACTAGGTTCTCTTCGGGTCAACATTAAACTTGAACAGTCTCTCTCCAATCAGGACACTGATTATTCTTAACCAATCAACAATTTATGTATTCACCTAGAACCACCCTAGTGTAGAACCAACAATTCACCAATCCAGTGTAGATACAACCACCATTCTGGGGATGTACTGAATATATACAACACAGTCTTGCAAGCATTGAGGCTCTGCAGTCATTATCAATGAACGATACAAGGCACCAAGGTTTCTTATGACCTTTATTATGACATCAGGCATCAGTACTTTAGTACCTGACACA